CTCACAGCTAGGAGTCAGAGTTGGTAGTACTTGGACCCCGTGTTTGAAGCCACCGCATTAAACAAATGAAGGTGGCAGCAATAATATTTGCCCAGATCTTGGTTCCAACAGGGGTTAGACAGACTGTGCTTTCATTACATGAAAGGGGATGTCAGAAGCACCAAACGGGCTCCATTTCCCCTGGAGTCCTAGACAAAGTGAGCCTGTTTCTAAGCTGCGGACAGGAGGCTACTTTCTCTGGATGTTATATTTAGCTAAAGGAATGTCCACCATGGCTTCATGCACCATGTAAAATATGTTCTGGCAGACATAACCACAAACCAGAGGGCCAGCAGGGAGCATCCCTTAAGGAGGTTCAGTAGCATAGAGGGGCCAATTGTGCAGATACCCTGACAACCCCAAATTAACCGAGTCAGCTGTGAGCCAGATTTTTTGGTCAATTCTCATATTTAATGAGTCTTTGTTTCCCTCTTACTAGAGATTCTGCCCGTGGGGAGAAAAACATGTTGCCCTCTGTCACTCTCGACTTCCAGCTGTTTGCCCAGACACCGGGTAGGAGAAACAACCCAGTGTTGATGTTTAACACCACCGTCTACCTTTGAAGGGTGGTGTGCAAGAGAAACAGTGAGGTTAATTCTGTAACTAAGTGAAATATCTGGATTCAAGGGAAAAGAATAAGAAAATCCAGGGTACTGTCTACACTGCATACAATACCTAGAGAGGGCTAACAGAACAAGCAGGTGGAAAGCTTTGCCTTCTAGAACCTGACGATTGTATTTAAATACTAGCCTCATCTCTTTTTCACTTAAACTCTCTAAGCCTCAGTGTCTTCCTTCATAAAATAAGGATAAGAGTAGTAATTACCTTATAGAAGTAGTGTAAGGATTAAATAAGATAATGTACACCAAGTGCTTAACACTGTACCTGGCACACACACTAGGTTCAAGAAAATTTGGATTTGATTATCATAACCTTTGCTAGTGAATCATTGAGTTTTATAGATTAAAAAAAATTGTTTTAAAGAAAATCTGTGACTCTTGCCAGTCAGATTCAAATTCATATAAAACTTGGTAAATTTTCACAGGTGTTCATAGCTGGACCAGAACAATAAAGGCATCTTTTCTGAAGCCGTGTGTCTGGAGAAATGCAGATTTTCCTTTTCCTACTGGGACCAAATTTACAGGTAAAATGAAAGGTATATCTGTTTCATATATTTGGATTCCAGTGTGGCGTCTCTCGGTTGCTGGCTGTGACAGATAACAGAGTCTGAAACAATGCTTTATTCTTTAAGAAATGTGGTTTTCAATTACTTAAGCTGGCCTCCTCTCCATACCCACACCCACTTTTGTCTGCGCTTATCTCAGGGACTGCTGCTTACCTATCACAGCTGGACAAGGGTCATCCGACAACCAGAAGGAAGCCCTGAGTGTGGGACGTCTTTGTCACCATATGACTATAGTCTATTAGATTTCGAAGGCAGCATAGAGATCATATTGTCCGAACACTTTTCTTGAAACTTGAGGTAACTGAGGCACAGAAAGGAGAAGTAATTGTCCAGAGTTTCAGACTTACTGGCAAAGCTGAGCCCTCGAAAAAGGGCCCCTGCTCTCAGAACACAAAGTAAGCCCCAGGAAGCATGACGTAACTGACAGGGTGGCCAGGGACATTTCTCTTCTTATCTTCTTATCTGATTACTATAGCTTAACCAGAGGGATTCTAATTCTTCATGCGCAGCACATTCTAAACAAAAGAGACCAAATATCTGAGGAATGGAGAGAAAATGCTTCTCTGCCCATTACTAGAAAGCAGAGAGGCTCTCACCCAGCCAACAGAATTAATCTATTCTTACGATCCGCCAAGCCAGCTTCTACCTTTGAATTCTCTGCCTACATTGGACCCCAGGAGAGAGAAAAAGGTTATTCACCCAGTGGGATAGTAAACCTTGGCTATTCAACAATCCCATGGAAATCTCTAATCGACTATAATTTAACTGATGAAAAGTTACAAAGATCAAGAGAAAGTCCTATGATGTGAAACTGTATACAACAATATGAATCAATCTCACAGACAGAGTGTTGAATGAGAGAAACCAGACATAAAAGAGTACACACTGGATGGTTCTATTTATATAAAGTATAAAACCAAGCAAAACTAATCTCTGCTGTGAAATGTCAGGACCGGTGTTATCCTTGGGGCTTGGGACCATCCCTCCCAACCCCCCAGTGACTAGAAGGGAGCATGAGGAGATTTCTAAGGTACTCAAATAATCTGTTTTCTTGATCTGGGACCTGGTTACCAGGTGTGTTCAGTTTATAAAAATGCATTTTGCTGTAATCCTATGATATATGCACTTTTCTTCAATGAAATGTAATATATAAACAGTTCTGTGAGTAATTAGAAATTCTTTCCTACACCCTCAGCATAGAAATGCATGGCTTAAGGAGGTCAACCCTGGGACCATGGGTAGGAATATCATTCATGGGTGGATGGGGAAACCCGCCACGTCTTGTACACATGCCATGCACTTTGCTGAAATGTGAATGGCATTTGAGGAACCAGAAATAACTTGTGGCTTTGATAACTGGCTGCCTTTAGCATAAACATCTCTGAGATCTGGAGGGGTTCTAAGACTCTCTCTCAGCTTGGGTCTTCCCTAACTTTCTCTAATCTCCCAGCTTTAGACCTCGCAAAGTGATGAGTTATTTAGAGGGAGAAGCAGTGCTTCTATCTGGACAGTTACCCATGTACTTATCAAAAGAGGACATCGAAGACATTATCTACAGAAATGAAGCACTAGTTTGGAAGTGAAGTTAAAGGGTATGTTCATGGTCGCCCATTTTTTCATCATCTAACCCATCTTCCAGAAGTTACATGATTAAATATGTCTAAGAAAATTTGTTGCTACTGAAATTGATTTGGTCATAAAATAACATGAGTCAGTTTTTAAATATCTTTGTACCATAATGTGTTAAATGGTTGCTTTATAAGTAAGGATTCACTGGCTTATGTGTATATTGAAAAAAAATTTCCAAAGCTGTATAAAACTTAAACTAATATAGACTATTAAGAGAAATCAGTGAAATCTAGATAGCTGAATGTCTCTTGTAGAAGTTTTTTTCTCTGATGAACAAAGGATATGGGGGAGGAAACTAACAGTCAACCCCCTTTCTTCTCGAGATAGTCTAAGTGGCTGTCAAGATCATAGACAACTGGTATCTGATCACTGTCAAGATTCCACCTAAATAGGTTAAAATTTTTAAAAAATAAAAATTGTATATATTTGAGGTGTACAATGATGATTTGATATACATATTCACAGCGAAATGACTGCTACCTTCAAGGTAATTAACATATCATCTCTTCACACAGTTACCTTTTCTGTGTGTATGAAAAGAGCCCTTGAAATCTACTCTCTTAGCATATTCCCAGTATTCAATACAGTATTATTAACTATAGTCATTAATTTTAGTCACATACACGCATCACCAAGTGCTGCAGAGTAATTCAAGTTAATGACAAGCAAGCCAGAGCAGATGCTGGAAAGCACAAGGAGATACTGAAAAGTACCGCTGCCCCAAAATGAAGTCTGGCCCCAACCACAGCACAGCCGGGCCACTAAAAATAGCCAGCAAGCTCTTCACGGAGTTATCTTTCTCTTCTCTCTTTTCATCCTCAGATGACTGTACCCCTAAATCCTGTCTCTGAGACACAGAAAAAGCCCCTTCAGAGATGCAATTATGTAGATGGAAGATTCTAAATGAGTTCTTTTTTCATGCTGGTATAAACAGAAGAAATTGGGCTCTAATTCCAGACCTACTGAGATCTGGAAAATTTCCTCACGTGAAGAATGGAAAACTGACCGAGAGCTAGAGCTACTATCGACCACAGTCCTATTTATTTAAGTCTACTCCCTCCCAGCCTCAAATTTTAACACTGGGTATTGTTAACTGGAAACCAATGAATTCCCTATATATGAAACCAATGAAACAGCCCTATATATTCTCTTTTTACCTATAACCTGTGGGAAGATTATTTGCCTTCTAAAAAGTCTTCTGGGGATGTCAGAGCTTCAACGGGAGACACAGTAGGTATATTATGTACAATGGTTGGGGCTTTTGCCACCATCTGTAACCAAAACTCATGAATAAATGACTCTATTAAAAGCTCAGGTTGAAAGAGCTTAGAAAAGAGCCTCTTGAGTTTCCAAGAGGCGGCTTCCACTACTGACAGGTGAGGTGAGTTTGGCATTTATTTCTTAAGATTATCACAATCAATTCTGAGTTTTTCCTTGGTCAAATTTTTCAACATACACCCAAGGTATAGTGACAAACAATGAGCTTCAGAAAGCATTCAGGGACCCAAAGACGAAGCTATGTCACGATAAGAATAACCAAGTCCATGATTTCACCTTGGCCAAGATGAGAACTTAGAAAGAGAACTAAACCAAAAACATAAACATATGTGAATTTGCTAAATGAACTAGAAGAGGAAATCATGAAATGACACTGAGGTCCTGGAATCACAGCTTCACAAATTACTTAAGGAAATCAAGCAAGTACAGACATTATTAATATACACAGATTATGGATTATGTGTAAGTCTGGGGGTTGTACCTTGCAAATGGTTACTTTCCCAGGACTACTGTAAATTCAGCTCAAAAGGGAAAACAAAAAGCCAATTCAATATTCTTTTCTGTAAGTATGTGATGGAGCATGACCAATGGAAAGCCTTCTAAGTGGGTCAATAAGATGTTCTTTCAGTTATTTACAAGATTGTGTCTGTGACCATAACTAGCTATTTACTTTTTCATTTTTAATTTATTTATTTTTTGTAGGGGAGGTAATTAAATTTATTTATTTATTTATTTATTTATTTATTTATTTATTTATTTATTTATTTATTTATTTATTTTAATGGAGGTGCTAGGGCTTGAACCCAGGACCTCGTGCATGCTAAGCACGTGTTCTACCACTGAGTTCTACCCTCCACCCACTATTTACCTTTTTAAAGAGTCTTCCTGAGTCCTCGCTGACTTGGACAAATCGAGGAATGATGTTATTCAGGTAGATGTCACTCAGGGTGGTATGGTCCCTGCTCTCCCGCTTCACCTGGTTTAAGAGGAGATTCCAGCAGTTGACTGGAGAGAGAACATTCTGATCCTTCCTGCAAAGAAACAGCAAGAAAAAAAAATCGGTGCTGGTGAGCAGGCAGGGCCGACATCCATGACTACAGTCCATGACCCCACATCCCAGCGACTGGAGCCAAACCAGAAATAAAGATATCTTTCCTGAAGCTGCACCTCTAGTTTTCTCTTTTTTCTAAAAATCAGTGGAGAAAAAAAGAAGAAAATAAGAGCAATGAGAAGGAGAGAGAGGAGGAAGGAAGAGGGAAAGAGGAACAGAAGCAAGATTATCTGTTGAGCTTCTACTATGTTGTAGAAACTTGGTGAAAGCTTTATACACATTATCCCATCTACGCGCCATCATTTCGTTGCCAGAAAAGAACTACTATTAACCTCATTTTACCGATTAAAAAAAACCAACTCAAGAGAGGTTGTCACTTGTCCATAGCCAGTAAGGAGTCACAGAGACAGTAAGAGGGAGTCACGGACCAGAATCACAGTTCTGTGCTGACTAGAACAATTCTAGGAGGTCTGACCAAAGTCCATAGCCCCAACCACTAAGTCACTTGGTTTGCATCTAGGGCTAGAGGCAAAAGTGAAGTCTCCAGACAAAATCTACGCTATAGACTAAATCCCCACACATTCTCTATTGAAGGACTGAATGAAGACAACAGTGGAGGCGTTTGCCATGTAAAAGTCACTAAAAATTCTTTAGTCCCACAGAACGCATCTAAGGAGGTTTGAGGTCATTGATTGAGCCATTTTCTACTGTTGTAAGCAACCAAGAGCAAAAACCATATCTAAACACATGTAATCCTATGACACGTTTAGCCTGAGCGGAGCAGTAAAGCATCAAACCTCGATGCTCATTTCTAAGGAAAACACTGTGATTCGAAAGAATTCCTGATTATCTTCTCAGCTCACAGCACTAATTTAAGCAACAGAAAGTTCTGCATCCACAAGCTGGATTTCTTTGAGGAGAGAAACAGAGGGCAGGGGTTATTTATCAAGGGCTTACTGTGTACTTGGCACAAAGGCTGGGCCCTATGCTCACACTGTTTAACTTGAACCCTGCAAAACCTGATGAAGTGGGGGTTTATCAAGTACATTCAGCAGATGAGGAAAGTTGGACTAAGAAAGGTTAAGTATCTTGTTCAAGGTCACATAGCTAAAAAGTGGTAATGCTGGAATTCAAAAACGAGCCCCGTAATTGCAAACAGGATGCTCTTAATCACTGCAAAGTATCATAACTTCTTTGTTCCCCGCTTCCTTCCTCCCTCCCTACAGTCAGACTCTTAATGCGAAGAAAGTAAGCTGAGGGTGGCTCAGTTATGGAGTCCGTACTGCCTCCACTCAGGGCTGGAGGCTGCCAGGCACCTGTGACTTGTAGAGCATGAAATTCAACTTAGAAGGGCTCCTTCAATTCAGTTGTAAGGTAACTATTAACAACTAATCACGCCACACCTACTCTGGCTTCTGAACAGACCATTAAATCAAAATATCTGTTTAACCAGCACCAAGAGGCTGCTTTAAAACAATGAACATTAGAGTCCAAATTCGAACTGCTCTATACCTGGCCCCACCCCTTGCCGCAGGCACTACACTTCTGTGGTCAAAATCCCTAACATGCACGTGCTGACCACTGTGTAACATCGTGTCCACTTGCCTTTCTAGGCAAATGAAAATATTTCTATGAAAATTGAAAAAAATATATATACTAGTTGAGAGAGATACATATAATTAAATCTACTTATTTCAAAATTTCTAGCATCTAAAGAAAAAAAGGTAAATAGGAAACAACCCTAAACTCAAAATGGTGAGAGATGTGAGCACATTCAGCAACATTTAATGTTTCCGTTGCCAGAAAACTTTCAAGCTGATCCCAAATCAGCTTCAGTTATAAAATCCTAAATAATCTAATTTAAGTTTTATTGGGTGGCAAGACATCCATGTCTTCAATAAGCACAGGTGTACCAGGTAATTCCACTGGCTATTTAAAAGGGCAGATCTCGCGAGACCTTAACTTTACAACTGGTTTCAGTCTATTTCTTGTGGGTGAACATGGTAGGGGGTGGTGTCCATTGGTTCTTCCCCTACAGAACTTTACACACATGAAAATGACAGTACAGTTCAATTTTACAAATGTATAAATGTGTATCTTAAATTAACAAAGTATAACAGTAGGGGCTTTAGTGGTTATAAAAATGCTGATGTCACAGAACAGCATGGGAGACGAGGAAAGACCTATATATAACAGAACAGAACATCAGAGGTACGAACAAAGGGTCAGCCTGCTCACCCACGCAGACCACAGAGCACAAGTGAAGGCAGGAGAGGCAAAACCAATCCAACACCACGGAAAAGGATACAAAGCATAATCCTAAAGAAACCCTTGAGTAAACAAAGATGAGTTAATAAAAAGGATGGGCAGAAGTGGGAATCTTTTAAAATGCCTATGATTCAACACTAATAAATCTGTATTTATTAAGAACTTCTAAGGTGCCACAAGTACTTTTACCACGTGTATTTATTTCCATTCTTACAGCTTGTGGTGGGCCAGCTATTATTGGATTCAATGAAAAGGAGCTTTTAAAGTATGTTCTGAGAAACTCTGGAATTACAGAGATTCACTTTTCAGTTTCAAACGACTATAACACACCCATTCAAATGAGCAACACCCACTTAAACACGTAAGGGACCCAGGACCCAGTTTCCCTGCAACAGACACCAACAGTGTCTCACGGGCTGCTAGGTGAGCTTCATTATATGCAAGCTTTGGAATAAAGAGTGAAAGTCTGTATCCAAAAAGCTGAAAAATGTGTTATTTGTTAAAATGAATGTTGCTCTGCACAGGTTTAGTCTTTAATTCAACTTGTGTGCCTCTTTGGGTAAAGCTGTTCAGGTGAGCACAGGGTTTGACACATAGCTGCCAAGTTCAATGACATGCCACAGAAAGCTCAGGGGCCTATTTTAGGTTCATGGTAAGCCATAGTTGGGTAGTGCGAATGTATACGCTCAGTATCATCTCATTTCATTGTCCGGTGCTGTAAAGCTTACTATACACGTCCATTTATCCAATTAATACTTGTGACGAAAAATGGGAACAGCTGCTAGTTAATGTTACTGATTCAACTTTAAAACAAAACCGTCCTTCTTTTTCAAGCATCTAAATTAATTTAAAACTACCTTGAGATTATGACAACTCGTCTGTGTGGATCGAGATTTTCTTTTTTTAAAATTTAATTTATTTTTTAATCAATTTTGGGGGGGTAATCAGGTTTATTTGTTTGTTTGTTTGTTTGTTTAATAGAGAGGTACTGGGGATTGAACCCAGGACCTTGTGCACACTAAGCACATACTCTACCACTGAACAATACCCTCCCCTCTGAATCAAGATTTTCTTGGTATTGAGCAACCCAAGCCAGAACCTGAAATAACATGGATGCTGAAACTGATACAGAACTCCAACTGATTCACAATCTGGGTCCACAGTATTTTGGATTCAGAAACCCAGCTTTATCATTCTCTCTTATCAGCTCTGTAATAAGCATTCTTCATAAATTTGCACTTTAAAACTAGATTTACACCAATAAAAGACTGCTTTGATCTGTTGCATATGTTGGGGTTCTATATAAGACTTTTACTTTAAAAAAGGAGTCTATGCAGAGAAAGACAAATATCATATGAAGTCACTTATATGTGGAATCTAAAAAATAATAAAGATACAAATTTTATTTACAGACCAGAAATAGACTCACGGACATAGAAAACAAACTGATTACCAGGAGGGAAAGGGGAAGAGGAGGGGTAAATTAGGAGTTTGGGATTAACAGATACACATTACTATATATAAAACAGATAAACAACAAGGACCTACTGTATATAGCACAGGGAACTATATTCAATTCCTTGTAATGAGCTGTTATGGAAAAGAAACTGAAAAAATATGTATGTATGTATATGTATAGCTGAATCGCTTGGCTGTACACCTGAAACTAATACTTCAATAAAAAAAATAAGAATTAAAAAAAAAAGGAGCCTGTGGCTGTAAAAAAATACATTAGACTCTGTTGCCTGTTTCTCCTGGGGCACACACTCTCTTTTACTATTACTATACTGTAGCTTTTCATACAATATTTTTGGCTCTTTGAGTTTGTATGCTGTCTCAGGCTGACTTCTCCTTTCAACTGAGGTGTTTTAATTAATTCATTTATTTATTTTGGGACAGTGGTGGGGAAGGAGGGGTGTAGGGCATGGGGTAGGAGGGGAACACAAATACACCGTAGAGACAATTTTCCCAGCCAACACGAACAAAGGCGAAACACACCGCAGGCTGGAAAATGAGCAAGTCAACGAGACGTGATTTCATAGGGAGCACATTAAGGTTCTGCGAGAATGGTTTCCTGCTTCCACGGCTTTGCAGCCTTATTTTATTTGGGGGCTGCTAGAGCCAAGGGAGCTTCGTTTGGTCCGGAGATTGAAATTTGTCTTTATATCTTTTCCATCTATCATTTGTTTGTACAGTTTCTTTACTTTCCCCGCCCCCAGAGTCTTAGGTTGTGTAATACTTGGGCATTTAAAGAAAAGGCTCTCCATCCCTTAGGAATGTGCTGAACAGCTGCAAACCTCCTCAAACACTAATCCCTAAAAAGCAGACAAAATATCCAGAAGTATTTTTCTTACTTAAAAAATTTTTTTTCAGGAGGAAGATCAAGAAAACATAATAATGACTCTGGAGTCAAAGGAGGGGAAAAAAAAAAAAGGAGGCGGCTGGGGAAGTTGCGAGCTGGCTGTGCATCCACAGGAGAGATTATCATTATAAATGCACTCAAAGAGCTAAACCCGCACAGCTGAATCATTAACTTCAAATACATTAGCCTGTTAGCCCAGTTTTCCTCCTTCAACTTAGACTATTTATGGATGTTCAAGAAACTTAGCGACAAATCCTTAAAGGGATTTCTGTAAAATACCTAAGGCGAAGAGCAAACTCCATAAAGGTCCAAACTGGTCTCTACATTACACTTCTTTTTGCCCATACCCC